GCCTCCCCCCCGCCTCTGCAAAACACCGCTCGGCACGGCATCCCCTCCCCTGGCTTTGAACTTGAGTTTGATTTTTGGCGTGCGTCGTACAAATTCACTCCACGCACACAGAAGCTCTTTTACGTCGTGCCTGCGAAGCCCCTCGCCGGTGGCAGTAAATATTTTGTTAACGAGCACTCAGTACATTTCTTAACATCGCTTTTGTTTTGAAAGGAACGGTTACGGTTGTGGAATTGAAACAGAGCTCGGTGATGCAGCGTTTCCTTACCGGTTGGATGCCAACTGCCATCAGGTTAGTCTCTGGTGATGAGTAAGTGGAACTAATTTTGTCTTTTTGATCCCCTCACCTAGAGTTTCTAGCTGAAGTAAGACAGGCAAGTCAGCATCTGTAAATGCTCTGCCAGGAAAGTTAACTGGGTCACAGGACCTATCGCAGTACGGAAGTTGGGACTTGAACACTGGATTAGTTCATCTTAATGGGGTCCTGCTGATTCTGTGTGTCCGTGTCTACAAATACGTTATATCTAGTAATTGGCCTCCAAGGATTTGCCCAGGATGTGGCTCGCGGCCAGCGTAGATTAAGGATTACAACAGTTGTATGTTCTTGCCCTTGTTCTGAAATGTCAGGCTTGTTCCTGACCGGCAGAGGTTACGGGTGGGTGACACGGATGCTCTGCGTGCAGACTGGGCTCGGTGTTGGATTGTAATCATTACGGTATCTCGGAGTGCACAACCAAATTCTAGGCCCTGTAACTTGGAACTGGGAGCGAGTTCCCTGACGCCCTGAATGACTTTGACCGTCAGCGGTGCGTTGCTTGGGGCTGGTCGGATCCTTGCTTCCCTCTGGATCCTTTGCCCGCGTTCTGCAAGCATTTGGCTGGGGTTGGGGAAGCCAGGGATGTGTTTTGGCTCCGCAAAAGCGGGTGAAAAACAGCATTACGGTGTGGTGGGCTTCTCTGCGCCTTGGTCCCGCGCAGTCCTGTAATGCTGCTCTCTCCTCCTGGTCTCACACCACTGGTTTATTTGTTTTTAAACACAGCGTGATAGAAACCCTGTGCCTTGGATCTATGCGCTAGCCTTGATTTTCTTCTAAGCTGTTGAAATCTGTGTTTTCAGAGGTGACTGTGGCCCATCGGACCTGCCTGTCAGCCTCTCTGTTCACTGCCTGGATCACGATGCCTTTCTCTTTGCTCTCTGCCAGGACCATAAACTTCGGATGTGGTCCTATAAGGTGAGCGAGGCCTGCGTTCGGGGGAGCAGCGTCTTCCATCGCTGCTCGGGTGATTGTCTGAGGCTTAAGAAATGAAGGCTGAGTGGTTGGCATAGATTTGATCTGCCATTAAATTGTCACTGAGTGGACTTCTGCACGCCGGGATTCAGGGCAATATGCGAAAATTGTTCTGGCGTGTGTTTGTAGCCGCGTTTGGAAAGCGGGTGGTGGGTCTTCTCTGCGGCAAAGCCTTCTGTATAGGGTAAGAGGCTGTATTAGGTTATTTACAAATGTACTGGAGCGTTTAGGAAGGCAGGGAGGAGCGCTTCAAGGGCCGAGGAGGCACACCAAATGGATTTTCTACTGCTTTAGCAGTAATAAGAGCGTCTTTGTAACATGGCTCCTTGTCAACAAGAAGTTAATAAAAGCCCTCTGCTCGCTGCATGCCAGTTGCTCCAAATATCAGTGCCAAGGCTAATCGACCAGCACAACTGCTTTCACGGCTCATCTGCACTGGAATGTGTGCATGCGTTACGGGAGGGAGGGGAAGTTTTATCCTACGTGCCTGCGCTCTGAAAGCCCATGTGCTCGGTGGGAGAGGGCGCAGGTGAGCTGGGGAAAGCTAAGCAGTGGTTCAGGTATGCATACGGATGCTTTTCTTGCATCACAGTGGTTCAGGTACGCGTATGGATGCTTTCCTTGCATCACAGTGGTTCAGGTACGCGTACGGATGCTTTACTTGCATCCTTTAGAGGAAGATCTGGGAAGACTTTGGCCAGAAGGGGAAGGATGAGGGAGCAGGGCAGTTTCTCAGTCCTGAATCTTTCCTGTGCTACTTTCCTGATACCTTTATTTTGCGTAGGATCAAATGTGCCTGATGGTTGCAGATCTGCTGGAGTTCATGCCGGTCAGCAGGGACCTGCGGCTCGCAGCTGGGACTGGGCACCAACTGCGCCTGGCCTTCTCCCCGTCCCTGGGGCTTTACCTCGGAGTGTACATGCACGCGCCCAAGCGAGGGCAGGTATGGAGCGTGGGGCTTCCTCGCTGCGAGTGCATCTTTCTTGGGCTGCGTGGAAAATACGTTGTTCCTCCTTGGATTTGGGTCTGTAAGGCAAGAAATAGGGAGAAGTTTAACGTCTGCCCCTCTGTAGAGAGCAGTACTTTCTGAATAAACATTTTTATTCTCAAAGCACTGCGAGATACATGTGCTGCTCTTGCTTTGGGAGTGGAACTCCCCGTGTGACTAAGCTGTGCTGTAAGCGCTAGTTCACTTTTTCACCTCCTGTTCCAGTAGGATCCTGAAAACACATATGTGCCGTGGGAAAAGGAAAGGTCTGAAAGGAGCTAAAAGCATGGAAATACTGATAGTATATTTATGTCGGGCTCCTGGGAGTGTGCGGGCGCATTGCTGTGCGTTGCCAAACGTTGACTTCTGTAGAACTTCTGCTTCTTGCGGTGAATAATAAATTTAGCAGGACAGGAATGACGGCACAGCGTAGTCTCATCTGTTGGACAGCTTACCCTTTCCGTTCTCCAGGGGATTCACATATGGAGTAGAAGCCCATATTGTGACTTCTGCTGTCCCACTAGTGCTCTGCTTGCTCTGGTAAGAACACGCAGAGCTTGGTTTGCAGCAAGTGGCCTGAGGATTCAGGGCTTTTCCACCTTAGTCTCCTTACTTGCCTGCATCACGTTGTTGCTAGCGGTGCCCAGCAGTGTTGTTTTTATCATTTTTCTGGTTTAGTCTTCCAAAAGGCAACTAGAAATCCTTCAGGTTCAGGCAGAGATGAGTGTCCTTCCTGGGAAGGCTGAAGTCAGTGATGTCAGTACGTGGCGCAGAGGGTCACCTTGGCTGGGTCTGTGGCTGGTGGCGCGTGGCATGCTCAGCTCGGCCCTCCTGCCCTCAGCCCTTGGGGTCTGGTGACTGTAGGATCAGGCAAGGAGAGGGACTGGAGAGATGGGTAGGATCCAGGGTAGGAAGGCTCTGCAGAGGGATCTGGTCAGGCTGGACTGATGGGCCGAGGCCAGTTGTATGGGGTTCAACAAGGCCAAGTGCCGGGTGCTGCCCTTGGGTCACAACAAGCCCATGCAATGCTCCAGGCTTGGGGAAGAGTGGCTGGAAAGCTGCCTGGCGGAAAAGGACCTGGGGGTGTTGGTCGACAGCCGGCTGAACATGAGCCAGCAGTGTGCCCAGGTGGCCAAGGCGGCCAACAGCATCCTGGCTTGTATCAGGAACAGTGTGGCCAGCAGGAGCAGGGAAGCGGTTGTCCCCTTGTACTCAGCACTGATGAGGCTGCACTTGGAATACTGTGTCCAGTTTTGGGGCCCGCAGTTCAATAAAGACATTGAGGTGCTGGAGCGTGTCCAGAGAAGGGCAACGGAGCTGGTGAAGGGTGTGGAGCACAGGGCTGGTGGGGAGCGGCTGAGGGAGCTGGGGGTGTTCATCCTGGAGAAGAGGAGGGTGAGGGGAGACCTGATCGCTCTCTGCAGCTGCCTGACAGGAGGGTGCAGTGAGGTGGGTGTTGGTCTCTTCTCCCAAGTAACCAGTGATAGGACGAGAGGAAATGGGCTCAAGCTGTGTCAGGGGAGGTTTAGATTGGATATTAGGAAAGATTTCTTCATGGAAAGGGTATTCCAGCATCGGAAGGTCAAGCATTGGAACAGGCTGCCCAGAGATGTGGTGGAGTCCCCATCCCTGGAGGGTTTCAAAAAAATGGGCAGAGGTGGCACTCTGGGCCATGGTTTAGTGGGCATGGGGGTGTTGGGTTGATGGTTGGCCTGATGATCTTCAAAGTCCTTTCCAACCTTAATGATTCCTAGTTTTTACTTTCATTAAAAAATAATCCAGCCACCAAAGCAGGAAACATGAAATTAATTCTTCCTCTCCCCTTAATTGGCTTAGTGGTGGACTTGGTAGTGTTAGGTCAATGGTTGGACTGGATGATCTTAAAGGTCTTTTCCAACCTAAATGATTCTAGGATTCTATGTGGAGCTTCCCCGCGACGTGCTGGTTATTGGCTTAGCAGTCCTTTAGCAAAAGACTTACGAGATGTGTTTGTAGTTCTGTGTCTTCCAGCTGGTGAGCACCGAGAGCAACCGCTACAGCCTTGACCACATATCCTCCCTGTTCTCCTCGCAGGTGAGCGCTGGGGCCCGGCTCCCCCAGAAGGCATGGAGACAAGGGAGGGTTGCTTACTGAGGGATCAGAGGCCTGGACTTGGGGATTTAACTGTGAAGAAAGAATTCTTTCCCAAATGTGGTTAAATGATACGAGGCAACGTTTTGCTGTTGTTAACTACGCATGTCTCCCTGCTGTACTTGAGTTTATGATAAGAAGGTAAATATGTGCTCTCTCTCCTAGGAGACTCTTGTTGACTTTGCCTTAACCTCGGCTGAGATCTGGGCGCTGTGGCACAACGAAGAGAACCAAACCGTTGTGAAATACATCAACTTTGAGCAGTGAGTTTCTGCACTGAATCGCTAGTGTCGACGGCCTCGCGGGGGGCTAACTGCAGGAGCAGTTGCCCGATGCTGCTCATTAAAAGCACCGAGCGAGTTCCTCAGTTTTTTTCTGTCCTGCTTTGCTAACTGAAGTGTGGGGAGAGGCAGCGGTTCCCAGTTCTTCCTATCGTGGTGTTCGTGTCACGTACGCAACTGTGTCTTCCTGCAGTGCAGATTATATGGATTTTTTACTTTTTTTTTTTTTGGTTCTGCTTTATAGTAAAGCTACAGCTCAGCTGCAGGAATGTGAAAAATGTAAAAAGCTGGGTGGCAGGCTTGCTGGGAGTGGAGGCCGCTGTGAGCGTGTCGGAGGGAGGGCTGTATTTCACTGACAGCTCCTTCAAAACATAACTGGCTGGTTTCTTCCAAGAAAGATGTTTTGAGGAGACCAGTGATGTGAAAGCATCGGTTCTAGCTTTATAAAGCTGAGAGGGCAGGCTTGGTGCATAACCAGACCAGGGAGTTAAATTCTGGGTTAAAAAAAAAAAAAAAATGCTGTGAGTGTGCAGGTTTGGGCAGAAGAATCTACTGATCAGTCTGAGAGCAAGTTGCTTGGTGAGCATGTGTGATGGGGAGAATGTTGATGTAAATTAAGGAATCCAACCTGTTCTGGTAGCTCAGGGCTGGCGATGCCACTGTGAAGTTCTCCTGTCGCTTGTCGCTAGACAAAGCTCCTCTGGTACCAGATCCAAGGGGCTGTGGTTGCTGTAAAGTCTGCGATCGCTGGTAAAAGCGACAGGTTTGGTTCAGGTGGCTGCTCCCAGGTGTGCTGGGTTGGAGCGTTGCAATGCAAAGCTGATCCTCGTTTTATTTTTCTTCCAGAAATGTCGCGGGCCAGTGGAACCAGGTCTTTGTGCAGCCACTGCCTGAAGAGGAAGTGATGGTTCGACACGATCAGGACCCCAGGGTGAGCCAACTATAAAAGAGCAACGAGAAGTAATGAAACTTCTCTGCCCAGGAGGAGAACATTAAAACAGTTCAAGTGTACAAATTATATTGATACAGTCTCAAAATTACTCCAAATTAAAGGGGACAAGCCTTAGCCTTTATTACCACAGCATTAAAGCGCTAAGCGTGGTTATGAAACCAGAAGTTGAGGGATGAGGAGAATTTCAAGTCAGTCGAGAGAGCCTTGAGACAAGACGTGAATAAACAAGACTTGGAGTGTGCGGGAAGCGGCGGCGATGACGGGAACTGCAAAGGGGTTGGAAGAGGAGAGGTTGGAGCAGGGTGTGGGTGTGAACAAGCTGGAAAGAAATACAGATCCAGGGGATGAGCTTGAGAATGGCAGGAAGGAGCAGAAGCAGTATCTTAAATGCTCTCCTCCTGACACGTGTGTTTCCTTAAATTGCTGTCTTGTTCCTTTGCAGGAAGCCTACCTGGAATATCTCTTCATGCCTGGCCAGTTCACAAACGCAGCTATCCAGAAGGCTTTACAGGTGAGTGAGAGGGCATTTGGCGCTCTCTGTTCAGCTTCTTCCTGGCTGTTTAGGTGTGAGGCAACAGGGTTCCTTGGAGCTCTTGGCAGGCATCGGTTTGCATTTGATAGTTTGTAGCCCTGTCAGTAGTCACAGAAGTGAGTTAGCAGCTGTTGTGCCATACTTCAGCCGGTGTGTGTGCTGACGGCGGGAGGCAGAATGTGGTTTCCAGAAAACGTTTTCCCTTAGGACAGCAGGTTGCTGAGCTTGCTTTTCGTTGCCTGCCGCTTTAGCCAGGTGAACGGAGACTCTCAGTGCACTGTAGTGCTGTTTCTTAGAATGTATCCGCTCGGTTCTGGCTCCTCTAGGACTGTTAAGGGTAGAGCAAGGCAACACACGGTGCCTTTTCGGCAAAAAACAGAAAAGCCAAACTTCTGCCGCTCCGACCGTTTTGATTCTTTGTGCTGTGACCTGAGGGAGGGGCCTACAGCAAGGTACAAGAGAGCCGCTGCGAAGGTGCGCGGCCCTTCTTTCCTTACATCCCAGCGCACTGCCTGCCAGGAGGCTTCCTCCATTTCCACGGGAAGAGTGAAGCTGGCTGTACGTCCATGTACCCCACATTAAGCAGCCAGCCATGGTTTTTAATACTTTTGTCCTGCAAAGCGCTGGCTGATGCTCTCGTGTTTGCTTGACGTCACTCAGTGCTGCTTGAACCTCGGGGAGGCAGCTCTCTTGCTTTAAAGTAAAAGTTTACTGTGCTGCTTTTCAGATCTTTTCTCAAGAAACTGAGGGACACATGGATCTGACATGGGATGAGTTAAAAAAAGAGGTTACCTTAGCCGTGGAAAGCGAGGTGAGATTTCTTTTTTCCCCATGATGTTTTCTGCTTTCATCCGTTGTGTGCAGTACTGTGATGGTTTGGCGAAGTTAAATGAGGTGCAAAGTGACCCCAGGCCTTGTTTTTATCCTTTGTCTCTCCAAAGGAGTTATGTGACTTTTTAAAAAAGTATGAATCTTCATCCTTCCTGCCTGGCTTTTCCATTCTCTCTTCTTTTTTGGAGTCCTTTCTTCGTGTTCTACTCTCTCCACTCCCTGGGAGCGCTTTGCATGCAGCATGCTTTGCTGGTCGCGCATGGCGTGCAGCCCGTTCTCAGCTCCCTGCACAGGGGTGCTGGCCACCACCACGCAGAGCTGTTGCTCATAATTTTGGGCACCCGAAGATAATCTGCTTAGGGGACCTGTCTGAAAGATCAACCAGCTGTCCTTTTGGGTCTGAATTTCCCCCATTTCATCCTACTTCTCTTGATTTTACTCTGATAAGCCTGATTCTCTAAGCCAGCAGTCCTTCCATCTGCAGCTCATCCTTGAGGCTGCTTAAACTTGCTAGAAAGTTTGCAAAAAAAGGCGGTTTTTGTATCCTCTATAGCAATCTTCATGCATGATATTTTTAAAGAGCTCTGCAGTGCTGCCCTTTTTCTTCATACCGTTGGTGCTTCTTTATCTAAGGTTGTATAGAAATGGTTCTTCTGGGCTTTGTTCCCCTTGCTGTTTGCTGTGTGATTCAGTGCTGTAGGAAAAAACCTTAGATTTTGATGGTAAGGTGGTGGGGAAGAGAACGGTAACTGGTGTTTATAAGTCTTAACCGTGTAAAGGTGTGACACCAGTCATGAGAGACAAGACAGCAATCTGAACGCTATAATTTTTCGCTCTGGTTCACCGCCTGTATTCATCTGAGGTCTTGTTTTGGTTCTGTTAGTTCCAGGCCAGCGTGACAGAATATGAGTGCTCGCTGGAGGATTTTCGGCAGCTGCAGGCGGAGTTCTGGTCCAAGTTCTATGCCTGCTGCCTTCAGTACCAAGAAGCCCTCTCACGGCCCCTGGCCCTGCACTTGAATCCCTACACCAGCATGGTGTGCCTGCTGAAGAAGGTGAGGCCGAGCGGTGGCGGCTCTTTGGCTGCTGTGGCCAACTGAAGCAGTGAGCAGTGATCGCCGGGGAGGAGTTCTTCCGACTGAGGTGTGCATTTGGGGAGCTCAAAGAAGGGCTTTCTCCTCACCTTTCTAGGGCTCCCTGTCTTTCCTTGTGCCCTGCTCCTTGGTGGACCATCTCTATCTCCTCTCTAACGAGCATCTCCTGACTGAGGACGACGCTGCCATCTTTGATGGTAAGTGAGGAGACGTGGAGCTTTTGCATCTACGGGGCTGAAATGCTGCGTGTCAGGGAAGTCCTAGGCAGAGGGATGTGGGAGTTTCCATAGAGGTCTCTCGAAGTGCTCCTGATTCCATAGTTGTCTACATGGAGATAATTTTCTTATTTTGGAATTTGTGGGGAGTTTTATTTTGTGAAACCTGCCATCGTGCTCACACCAGGAATTAGAAAATGGTGTCAAGGCTGCAAATCTGCCGTGACTCATTTCAGATAAGTTAAAAAGGAAGAATCTTAGATTACAGGCTGCGTGTTGCTCAGTGACAAGGACCTGCACTGATGGATCCTTCGCCCTTGTAGCTTTATAAACTCTGCGTAGGCTGCGGTTAACTGGTGCCCTCTTCATGCCTGCTCTTTTTGGGACAGATCCTGCCAGGTCGGAGCTCCATAGCGTGCTGGCAGGTCCCCAGTCCTGCTGGGGAGAGTGGGATGCGGCAGCTTGTGTTTCTGACACGTGGGTGACCCCCCCATACGAACCCCGCTTAACGTTACCTCCGCTGGGTGCTTGCTCAGCTTTGCCGTCCCCACCGAGAGCCGTATGGCCTACTCTGACTCGGTGCAAGCGGTTCTCTTGCGTAAAATCCCGCAACCTGCGTGTCTTGCTGATGGAGTAAACTCCTTTCTAAGACGACAGACGAGAAGGAAACTTGTGATCCTCTAAGCAGCCCAGCATGCTGGGCTCAACTACCCAGTTCTGCAAGCTTAGTTTTTAGTGCAATGTTTTTGTATAAATGTTTTCATGTAAGCCGTGGAGAGGGACCGTGCCGTTTCTTGTCTCCGGGAAGTAAATGCCAGAGTGCGGCAAAACCTGTCGTTCATATTGTTGCCACAGTGCCCTCTATGCTTTGCTGGCTGTGGAATGATGTTTCACAGGAAAAAGGCAACGGAAAATGTTACCTAAGCTCCACTTTCATGCTTGAGTGATTTTTATATATTTTTTTTTTTTTTAATAAAGAAGAATCCTCATCCGTTTGGTTGAGCTATTTCTGGATCTGAGGGAAGGAAAGCTGGAGGCCAGGGCTGGGTTTGGGAGGCTAGTGGTTCCTGCCCTGTCTGTTTCAAACTTCTCAAAAAATGTGACTTAATTTTAAAAAGGCATACATAAAGGATTGCCTTGCAAAGCAGCGATTTAAACCCTCCGTACTGAATTTTCAGATCACTTTTAAGAATGTGAAAATCCTCTCTTGGCTGTGAGAGGTGGTGCTGCAAATGGAGAGCTGCTGTGAGGAGAGCGTGTTCTGCCTGGCAGAGCTGAGCTGTCTGAGCCGTTTGCTCTGGGGTTTTTTTGCTCTTATGCTGCACTAATGATTTCCTTTCAACCTGTGACTGGAGAAAATCCCTTGGAGGGAATTCTGTTGTTTTATTGTTGCATCAGTATTTTTTTAATTTCCAAATAATAAATCCCAAATCTTTCCCTTGTCGACTCCTAAGTTTTAATTCAGCCTCGTAGTTAACAGGGAAGGGTCGGTTTGAGGGACTGAGACCAATCTGCTGCTAGTAGTTTGCTGATACGAGCTGAACTAACTGGTTTTGAATGGTCCTCCCACCCTCGCTTTGAAATCTCTTGTAAATATACAGTTAGATTCTTTCATTACAGATATGGAGATGTCTCGTGATGTTGTCTGTCTTGTCCAGTGCCTTCGACTGATCGGAGAATCAATTTCCATGGAAATGGCATTCACAATGGAAATGGCTTGCTTCCACCTCCAGCCTCCAGAAAAGGCTGCAGAGGAGATCGTGGAGGACTTGATAGCTAATGACACGTAAGGAGATGTTTTTGCAGAAGCTCCCCTGCAGGCAGGCGCGGATGGCTGAGCAGGGATTGCCTGGAGCTGTCCTTGATTGGCATCAAAGCGCATTTGAGATGTGCGGGCTCTCCCTGCGCTGCAGGAGACTTTTCCCAGTCCCCTCAGAGATGGGGAGCATGGGTATTGGTGACATTAGCAGGGTCTTCCGTCCAGAACCCCCTTGCTGTTGCCTGGGGCCCTCCTGAAAAGGCGTTTTGGGGATTTTCAGGGGAGATAGAGAGCAGAAGAGGAACAAGTTCCTATTAGGTGATCAGTGTGGGAAGCAAGACGTTAGGTAGAGGTCAGAGCCTTGGTCAGGCCACGTGGTTACTGCGCTTGCCTCCTGAAATCATTCCCCCGTGGAATGCCAGCTATCCGACTGTTATTTCCTGGGTAGCCTGGGGGAGTGGAATAAATAGACTGGTCCCTGCAGGCGCTGTAATAAAACTCCAAGCCAGAAGAGGATTCCCTTCAAGAACGTCCAGGCTGATCAGATACGCTTCCTTCCAGGGAGGATCAGTAAGGGAGGAAAGGGAGCCCCCTTGAGTTAAAACCCCATGTTGCTGATTATTATCTTTTTCACTTTGCAGGGAAAATGTGATGGAGGATATACACAGCAAACTGCAGGAGATCAGAAACCCCATCCATGCCATCGGAGTGCTCATCCGCGAAATGGACTACGAGACAGATGCTGACACGGAAAGAGGTGAAAGCTCTACAGCAGCGCGTTGGGGCTGGGAAAGCAGCGGCTCAGCGAGTGTTCTGGTTGGTCTCGTTCCCCCCCTTACTGAGGCGATTGTATCTTTCAGCTCATCACCTAAATATGCGCATGAACCTCACCCAGCTGTACGGTAGTGGTACCGCTGTCAGCGTGGTTTGCTGGGGGGTATGTAAGATTGCCACGATCCGTTTCCTGATCTGTCGGGACCTGTTGTTCCTCCAACAGCTGTTGCTGCGGCTTGGAGATCCTGTGAGTACAGCCCTTGAAGCTACTGCTACGCTCTTTGAACTTTCGGATCTGGGGTTCTGCTGGTGCCAGACTGAGAGCTCTGTCTCTTCCCACAAAACACCGGAGGCTGTTTGAACTAGCCCAAGGCTTGGGCAAGCCCTGTTCTCTCCTCCAGCTGCTTTTGTCATCCTAAGCAAAGCAGTGGTGCGCTGCACTCCTGCCCTAACTCCCTCTTTCCACGCTGAGCTTCCAGGAAGCAGGAAGCAAAACTTTCTTTGCGGGAGGAGGGCATTGTTTCCAGCCTCCCGTCTGAAACGGCGCTGCCTGAGCACATACTGTTCTCCCGTCTATTCCCCATCCCTCCTGCACCGCCGCGCAGCCCAGCACGCACACGCTTGCAGCCTTGTTCTCTGGCGATGCAGCACCTTTGCGTCACGGCAGCAGCGTTCACCCAGAGGCTGTTGTTTCAGCCTCTGTGAGGCTGCTCCGGCCGGCGCAAACAGCCGCCGTGATGGCAGCTGTGTTTGTGGTCATGGGGTGGGCTGGGCTGGGTCTGTCCTGTTGGGCCTGTGGCCACGTGAGGGATGGCGCTGATGGTTTGGGTGGACGCAGGGGAGCAGAGTAAGTCCACAGACAGGGGGAGCGTTGTTTAAACCAATATTATTTACTTGGAAACATTACTCCAGTAGTTTCTTGGCTGAAAAGAAATCCCCTTCTTCCTGGATAAGGTCACTCTGGGAACATTTAAAGCACATTGCAAGGTGCCCTTCTGGATCCAGGCGCTCTCAAGGCACGTGACCTGCTGCTTGCTTGTTGAGGAGCTGCTGCTTTGCCACCTTGACACACTTGTGTCCTTCACAAGCGTGGATTGCTTTTCCCTCCCGTGTCGCCAAGGTGTGCTGCTCTTGGCTGGAGCATACGGCGATGCGATGCCTGTGCAGCAGGGCTGGGCCCCGAGATGGCCTCTGCAGCAAAGCCGTGATTTCGCTCTCGGTGACAGCGCAAAGCACCTTTTTGCTGGTGTCCCTGGCATCAGCAGGTGCTGGTGTTCATAGGCTAAAGAAACGTTCGGTGTGCTTGCTTTGTTAAACTTTCCCCAGGGGGTCGGGGCCACCGGAATAGTGAACTCACCCCTTGGTCCTGAGGTGACACTTAATTTGCGACTGGGTTATTCTGGCACATGCAAGAGTCCTGCTGGTCTCCTGGGGGGGTTGAGTTAATTGCCGGGCTATTGCCTGCCTCGGTGTTCGCAGGAGGGATGAGCTGGGCCTGGTACAAACCTCACTGATGGCCCTTGTCCTGCCGTTGCTCTCTGGGCTTGGCCTCTCGGTGAGTCAACCTCTGTGGTTTGCTTGCAGATGGTTTTGGGAGGGGGACAGCTGTTCCAGTCTCAGCAGGACCTGCTGCACCGCACCTCTCCCCTGCTGCTGTCCTACTACCTGATCAGGTGGGCAAGCCAGTGCCTTGCGTCTGACGTCCCTGTCGACACGCTGTAAGTCTCTACTGCACCCGTTCTGTCCTTGAATGATTGTAGGTTCCTGCTAAATCCACCTGAAATGCCCTTCCTGGTATGAAAAGCTGGTGGTTGCTGTGGGAGTATCACTCTAGGAGTCAGGTTGTGCTGGGGAAGGGTGGGTTTTTGGGGTTGTGGGGTTTTTTTTTTTCTTTCCATGTTTTGAGCTGACTCTGCCTTGTGCTAATTCTGCCGTGTGAGGTCTCGCTGTTCTGGGCACTGTTGCCTTTTTCGGCAGTAGGAGTCTTTTGAGTTGAACAATGAGCACAATTAAAGCAGGAGGCGTTTTGTTGTCTCTTCACTGATGCCTTTTTCTTCTCTAGGGAGTCGAATCTGCAGCATCTCTCTGTGTTGGAGTTAGCAGACACCACTGCTGTAACACCCCATAAGCTAGGTAAGATGTCCACAGTTCATCAGCTCTCCGTTTCTGTTATTTATACCTCTTGCACTCCGTGTCTCTGCCACCCGAGGGAAATGCTTCGTGCAGTGAGCTAATGGAGCGCGTGGTGGAATGACCTCACTCTACGTCAAGATGTTTGTCATGCTGTCCACCAAAAAACGATGACAAAACCAAAAGTATCTTGTAGCGTTGCACTCGGACCAGAGACGTGGATCTTATCCTCAGCCTGAGGAGGATGGGAAGGCCTCACTCAGCCGAATGTTATTAATTCTGGCCCTGGCAGTATCAGCCAAGCTCATCTCTCGCTTCTGTGCGATACAGTGGCTGTAGTGGGTCAGACCAGCCCTGTCCTGCTCGCTAGCCTTTATCCCACAGCGGCCAGGAACTCAGGGAAGCGAGAAAACGTAGAAATACTTCCCCAAAACGTGCTTGCGCTTCCAACGCTTTGCCAATCAGACACGAGTGTTGCTCGCAGCCAGTACCTCAAGGGGGAAATTGCAGCTGATAATTTGTTCACATTTTAAAAGTCTTGCTGCAAAGACATACGCTTTGGGTTACTGTCCTGGGGGAGAAATCCCAATGGGGGAGAATATAAGGCAACTTAATTAGGAGGATGTGTACCTTGAAGTGGTTACAGAGGGAGGTGGTGGGCAGGGTAGGGGAGAAAATGCACAGGTAAGAGCCTGCTGTAACTCGTCTGCGTGGCACTCGGAGGCTGAGGCGCTTCAGAGGGAGCTGAGAAAATCAGTGACAAACAGGCAGCAGTGCCGTGTGTGAAGGGCTGTGAGCTGGGGAAGAATTTCCTCCGCTTGCTGACGAGCCTGGGGCGTCTGTGCTCTTTGTAACAAAAGCAGGCTGCGATCTTCAGAGTCCAAACTCTCCCTGAATGAGAGTCTGGGTTCAGGAGGCAGTTGCCTCGACATAAATGTCAGCGCATGAAAGCGAAATTGAAAACATCCTTTGTGTGCGCCGGTGTCGTGGGTTGTTTCTTGGCCCGCTCATGAGGAAAGTCCTGTTTGGCCGCTGTGCTTGAGGAAAAATATGCGAAACGTAGGGAAGATAGAAAGGAGGTGGCAGCTTGGGGAGAGGCGTTGAGAACAGTTAGCTAATGGGAGATTGGACTGCTTAGGGTGCTGGAATGAGGAGGGAGGCATTTGAACAGAGCCAGATAGCCAAATCAGCACTCCCTCAGCCCTGCCCTGCAAAACACTCGGTTGTGCTGGAAAGCTGCGGCTGGGTTGCGAATAGCGCGACTGGAGAGAGAGCACAGCCTTTCTTTTTCTTTCCCCCCACCCCCCTCCCTGTTATAATTGAGTTGTGGTTAATAAACATTGCAGTATGTGGCTCTTTGATCTCCTGCTGCTCCCTCTGACTTAACCAGACGGCAAGAGAATTCCAAAACCAACAAGTTTGAGTATTGAACGTGCTTATTGTTTTGCTCTGACTTAATCTGTGATGTTTGGGCCGATGGGCGCAGCACGATGTAGAAAGCCTGGGGTGTCTGCTGTGGGCCCTCTTCTCAGTGTTTCTTTAACTTTGTATTTTCAGTATCCAGCCCTCAAACAATTGTGGAGCTGTTCTTTCAGGAAGTGGCCAGAAAACACATCATATCTCGACTTTTCTTGCAACCAAACACCTCTTTGGCTGAAACAAGTTTGAACTGGCCCCATCTCATTACCGCAATAGTGGCTGACTTTCTGCCGCTCCTGTATCCTTGGCTGTAAACCTGCTGCGAGGTGCTGGCTCTTGCCGGGCTGTAACCGGGGGAAGTTTCTGTACGGCACGGCGGTGCCGGAGCCCGTGCGAGATTGCACAGAGGTTGTGTGTTGTGTCCCGGTCCTGCGGCTGGGAGCGTCGGTGGGTCTGTGGGAGGAGGGTTGGGGCTAGCAGGAGGGTTAGGGCAGTGGGCTGCGGAGTGCTTGGGGGCTGTAAGTTGGCCCTCTCTGCCACCGAGCCTTGTGCAGTTCCAAAATGAATGTTTTCCACACCCAAATCTCAAAGACAAGTCTCCTGACTGTTAGTGTTAATGGGATTTGTGGGTATTTTAAGATTTCACAGAATCCATCCCGTTTAGGTGCACAATACAGGATTTGAGTCTTTGACTTTAAGCCCCTGAACTCTAGCAACTTGACTTGGCGAGGTGCGATGCTGGGAGATTTGGAAGGGTAACGAGATTTGGGCAGTTGTGGATTAGATGTACTAATGGTTTTGTTCTAATATGGATAAATCTTATTACAGAATAATGACTTGTGTAGAGAGCAGCTTAATCTTCTCTCCTTTCCCTCCGCAATCTGAGTGCAAAGGCGTGCCGACGTTCAGACTAGTTCTCCGAGCTTTCCGGACTGGATTGTCCTCTGTTCCTTAACCTCTGCCCAGATGGCCCAGCAATCCCGGCTTCCTCTTCCCCGAGTGCCTGATGGGGAGCTGTCAGTACACCCAGCTGCAGGTGAGTGCTTCGCACTGGCTCTCTGACAGGAGCTGAAAGGGGAAGAGCAGGAGCGAGCGCAGTTGTCTCTTTCCACGCGTGGGTTTCTTCCAGTAGCAGCCCTGCGCTTTGGCCGATGCAGAGGCGTGACGCGGTGTGAGCCCTGTGCGTGGCCGCCTTACCTCTGCTTAGAAAGAGCTCCCCAAAACGTCGTCTTTCCAGTCGCTGGAGTTTGTTCTGCTTTCCCCTAGTTGCTGCTCTCTGAGCTCAGACGTGAGCTAATCTCCCCAGGCGCTCTGCCCCCATGTCTCCCTTTTGGAGATGATGGGCTGGAAGCTTGTCCTGCAGATGAAATGGACTGAAAGGAATGATTCTTTTGGATAATTGTTAGAAATCTCTCTTACAACTGCTGCAGTGTCAGCGCAGTGAACAAATTGTAAGGTGGCAAATATCTTCTGTCATCTTCCTGCATCCCTCTCGTTCCCTGTAGCATCCACCTCAGTCTCTGCTAACAGAAGGGCTTTTTGCTAAATATCTTATACCTAGAAAATGCCATGGAGAGTTTGTTGGGGAGTGATTCGAGATGGTAGTCTTATGCTTTTCCTCTTTTATCTGTTTTCAAGAAAACCCAGGCGTAAGTGCCCAGGGTTATTATATACCCTTTTCATGGAGGAGTTCAGTCTTCCAGGGCTTGTCTGACAGCATGATGCTGTGTGTAAGAAGCATCTTGATGGAGCTTGTTTAAATATCACAGCAAGCCCGTAACCTAATAGTTTGTTAGCTGCTGATGTATCTACCCGTAGCCTTTTCTCAAACAGATTGCCCATGGGACTGGGGTTCAGAAGGCTGTCTTCAACCCAGCAGCAGAAGTACTGTTTCAGGAGGGCTCATCTATTTCTTAAATGTCCTTACTAGTGAAAACCAGTGTAAGAAACATCCATCGCCTTTCCATCCCCGGCTGTGCTCCCAACATCTTGGCAGCAGGGCGAGTGAACTACTTTTTTTCAGGTGTCTCCGCAGAGTGCTGTATTTCAGACCACTGTTTCTCTACCCTCTCTTTCTGTGCTCTTCAGGGGCTTGGTAGTTGTAGCGGCTTGTGCTCTAGTTCTGAACTGCACGATTTCTTCTCTGCAGAGCCACGTGACGCATTTCATTCCCCGACTGATGGCACTCCTTGAGGCACGCAGGGCTAGGCAGGCTGTTATTAATGAGATGGTTTTTCCTGTGCTTAGCAGAACCTTTTATTCTCACAGTCCCTTACACCTGGGGGCTGAATTACTTTCTTTTGTGTTCATGTTGCTGCCGAGAAGAATGTCAAAATCTGCAGGGCTTTTGAGCCAGGAAATGCTGGAACGGTTTGGGCAGCATCGTTCTGCCTCCTGGCATATGTGCACTCTCGTGGCACGAGCACGCTTTGAATTTCCTTGCATTGCTTTCGCCTCACTTGCGTCCCGCCTCGAGGAGCTACGAGAGACTTTTATCTCTGCAGGAGCGGGCTCTTCCTCCTCCCCGCTACCTTCTGTTACGCTTACTGATCCCAGTCGGTCACGTAAACTTGGATTAAGTGCATTGACCTCGGGGAGCTAACGCCAGATTTGCTGTGAGCGTGAGCACGGTGACCCAAATAGAGGTGGAGATACAGGAAGCACCCTGCGAGTAACAGGCGGGCACAGAGAAGGTCTACTGACCAAAGCACTGGCCTGGGCCCAGGGCCAAACCTCTCCTTGTTGCTTATTCTGTATGACAAGCTGTTGAGCAAGCCTGGGGTGGGATTTATCTGTTGTACCTGGCTAATCTGAGCGGTGAATCCAGGCTCAGAGGTTGCGTTGCCACGTGGCTTTTAGTGGACCAGTGGCTGGGGTAGGCAAGGCGTATGTGCTGGTGGTTTATGCACACGCAAGGATGCAGGTTGGATGATGAAACCTTGGCTTTACCTCCGGGTCCTGGCTTCTCCTCCTGTCCGGCTGAGTCCCAGAGCCCTGCTAGTGGGACATCTCTGCTTCTCCAAGTATGAAGAGCGTACGCCGCTCTCCCAGGCACGAGGGATGCCAGCTTTTGAGTTTTCATCGTGCCTCCTGGCTGCTTCTTGAGAGGTGATGACACTTTGCAGCCCTTATATTATCCTGACAGAGCAGGCACGGGGCCAGGTTGAGTTGTACCGCCCTGGCCAGCGTCCGTGTTATGGCTTTTATTTGCGGTGTGTCCTTGGTGCCTGTCAGTTTGTTGCTGTAATCCGTGGTCTTCCTTGGCTGCTCTCCCTCTCCTGCCCTGCTGTACAGATACTGCTCTTCTAACGCCTGCTCTCCCTGTTCTCCCGCTGCCTTCACACATGCGCGCTCCCGTTCAGGCTCTGTGCACGCCGGGGTAATGTTTCCTCTGCAGTTCCCGACAGCAGGTTTGCAGCGGTTGTAGAGAGCCTTGTGTCTGCTTTTGGGGATGTTGGGTGGTGTTTCTGAGGCGCTTTGTACAGACACTGGAGCTATTCAAAGCAGGTTGTTTCCCAGGAGTGTGTGGGGGATGTCTCCCCATCTGTGAACTGAGGGGACTTTGGGGCTGGGGAAACCAGCCCTTGAGCTGGAAGAACGGGATTTGTGTGAGCACTGCAGCTAAAGGGGCCGCCAAAATAGTGCTTTGGTGTTAGGGACCAAACCCTTCCTCTGGTACCGGCTGCCTGCAGGTCGCAAGTGAGTGCTGACCTGAATCGAAACTCCCGTTCCTCCTCTCCTGTAGGAATACATTCGCCTGCTGCAGCCGTGGTGCCACGTGAACATGGGCTCCTGCTACTTCATGATGGGCAGGTGCTACCTTGTCATGGGCGAGGGGCACAAGGTAAGGCCCTCGTCTCCTTCTGGTGCTGCCTCCCTCGGGTGTCTGGGACCTTTTTCTTTGGGAGGGAGGAGTCTGGAAACATCTGTCTCGAGCTCTGCCTCCTTTGGGCAAAAAATGGGATTGGAGGGGGGCAGTGGGATCTGCTCTTGGGGAGGTTCCTGTTAGCTTGGGGCCAGCAGGTCTCGTACACTGGAGCTGGAACGGGCAGCGCTGTCCGCTCACCGGTGCAGCGAGCTGGATCAGTCCCCCAAGGGGCACAAGCAAGCTGCTTTCTGGTCTGCTTCTAGGCTTTGGACTATTTCTGCCAAGCCGCGTCAGAGGTGGGAAGAGAAGAGTTCTTGGACAGGCTGATCCAACCTGAGGAGGGTGAGATGGTCTCCACTCCACGCCTGCAGTACTACAACAAGGTACGGCTGAGCCGGCCCAGCGTGCGCAGTCCTGCCCGAGCAAATTGACACCAAATCGTTCCACACAGGCACGGCTTGGAGAGAGAATTCCTGCTCAGTCCCTGGCTTTCGGGGAAGTGACTTGAGACTCAGAAAATGTACTTTATTGCGAGGTGAAACCTCAGTATAGTCTGTTTACTTTCTTTGGGGGGTGATGACGAGGTGACTGCAGTGTGAAAGCCAGGTACTTTCCACCTATTAGCTTCCTAATAGCAGAGGACTTTGTTACCCAGCAGAAAAAGGCAAGGTGAGATCAGCTGCTGGAGGCAGAAGCCAGACATGTCCAGGCTAGATGCAAGATGCTGCTTAAGGGGAAGGTTATTAAGCTTTGAGGCAAATTAAAATTCATGCCTTGAAATTGAGATAGGATCTTTCTTCTTGCATAATACCATCGTTCAGACAGACTGGAAGCTTGGACCTAGACTCATTGTAAGGGATTTCCTGAGTCTAAAATCCAGAAAACACGAGAGTTATCAGGTGCCCTTGGAGAGGGAACGTCTCTCTCTTAATACAGCTGCATGCATGCTTGGGGACAGAATTGTTTACCTCTGTCGCAGGGGTTTGCTGTAACCATCAACGCTAAAATGTTTCAGAAAACTCACACGTGCAGAGATGAATCCTCCAGAAAAGCCGTAGCCTGGACCTGTTGTGCTGGGATTTGGTTCAGACCTCCATGACTTACCAAAATCTTTCCTTTTTCAGTCTAATCGCTTAGCAACGTTGGCAAAACCTTTTGACTGCTCTTATGGTTAGTAAGGGCAGGAGTAGCTCTTAAAAACAAACAAAAAAACCCCTCGCCAGCCTGACCCGTTCTTTGGTACTGCTGCAGCCAGCGCTAGAGTACTGTCTTCCCCAGGTTCTGCGCTTGTTGGACATGGTTGGTTTACCGGAGCTGGTCATCCAGCTGGCTGCCCAGGCTATCATGGAATCGGCGGATGACTGGAGAATCCAGGTACGGGTCGCTTCTTTTTGCGTCAAGATGTTTCTTCCGGGAGCTTACTCGGGAGTTTCTTTTTAGTTGTGTAACTCGAAACATGCTGGTTTGTGCTCTTTGGTGTTTTCAGGCTACTTTGAGGACTTGCGTCTTTAAACATCACTTGGATTTGGGACACAACAGTGAAGCATATGTAGCCTTAACGCAAAACCCAGATCCGAGCAGGTAGGTGACAGTTTTATCCCTTTATGCTTACTTGTCTCAGAGGTCCATGTACCAATTTTTCCATCAAACTGATAGGAAGATATGACGCTTTAGGGTAGGACGTGGCTGCTACGTTAAGAGGTACTGTTTAGTGTCTGTCAAGGTGTTTAAAAAGGCATACTTTGTTTTTGTAAGAACAGCTGGGATTGGCACTATCTCAGAGGAGGAAACTGGAGGGGGAGGAGCTGATTCAGGGAAGAGCCAAAAGAATGGCTAAAGGATCGCATGCGGTGTTGTATGTTGAAAAGCCTTAGGAGTCCAGTCAGTTTAATAAACAAAAGTTGTTGGAGTTGAATTTTCAGCTTGAGTACCATCTGGGAAGTGAACTGGGTAAAGGAAGCTTCACCCTAGCTGAGGAGGGTGTGATGAGCAAGGATGGCTGGAATAGACGTTCAGAGGAGAAGTGGGAATGCATTTTAATTGAGGCTGAAGAAGATCTTACCAAATAGAGCTGAGGAAGGGAGGCTGCCCTCCTGAGAGACCTTTGCAGAGGATCTCTGCTGTCCAGAATCTCTATATCCAGCTGTCCTGGTTTTGGCTGGGATAGAGTTAATTTTCTTCCTAGTAGCTGGCACAGTGCTGTGTTTTGCATTTAGTATGAGCATAATGTTGATAACACGCTGATGGTTTAGTTGTTGCTCAGCACTGCTTATGCCAGCCAAGGACTTTTCAGCTTCCCATGCTCTGCCAGGGGCACAAGAACCTGGGAGAGAGCACAGCCGGGATATTTGATCCAAACTGCCCCAAGGGCTATTCCATACCATACGGCGTCATGGGCAGTATAGAAACTGGGGGGGTTGGCCGGGGAGCAGCGATCGCTGCTCAGGGACTGGCTGGGTATTGGTCGGCGGGTGGTGAGCAATTGCATTGGGCATCACTTGCTTTGTATATTGTTATTGCTATTATTATTATATTGTTATTATTATCGTTACCATTTTACTTTATTTCAATGATTAAACTGTTCTTATCTCAACCCAGGAGTGTTTCTCACTCTTACTCCTCCGATTCTCCCCTATCCCACCAGGGCAGGGGGAGCGAGCGAGCGGCTGCGTGGTGCTGAGTTGCTGGCTGGGGCTAAACCACACCACCAGCCCAGGAGGAGTCTGAAGGGGCTTCTTGGTTCTAAGCCAGGCAAAAAAAAAAAAACCTACGGGGCTGGTCACAAAGCGGAGCTGGTCACAAAGCGGCGTGTTTATGGCTTAAAGCCTGCATCCTGGAGATGGGTTTGTCCCCGCTCCTCCAGAAGGGTTGTGCTTCTCTCTCCGCAGGCGGCTGGACTGTCTGCGCCAGCTAGTGGTGGTTCTCTGTGAGCGCTCCCAGCTCCAGGACCTGGTGGAATTCCCCTACGTGAACCTCCATAACGAGGTAATCGGCCCGCGCTGCGAGAAAGCGGGGCGCAACCGCTCCCTTTAAAGGGATTGTTGACCCACTTGAGCCTCTGCGTGCTGCAGGTCGTGGGGATCATCGAATCTCACGCTCGAGCGGTGGACCTGATGACCCACAACTACTATGAGCTGCTGTACGCTTTCCACATTTACCGCCACAACTACCGCAAGGGTAAGGCTCGGGGTGGGCACGTTGTAACACCAGCGGGGAGGCCTGTCCTGCGTTTCGGCTGATGTATTCCCCTTCTCTCCTCAGCTGGAACGGTGATGTTTGAATACGGCATGCGTCTGGGCAGGGAGGTGCGGACGCTCCGAGGGCTCCAGAAACAGGGAAACTGTTTTCTTGCTGCTATTAACTGCTTACGGTTGATCCGCCCAGAGTACGCCTGGATAGTGCAGCCAGCTGCCGGAGCTGTGGTAGGAACCGCTGAGCTTACTGTGACGCCTCTGACCTGAGCTATTGACTGTGGGGACGCTTACAGCTGTATGTTTGCGAAGGAGCTTCCAAAATCCTTTCCGATGTGATGAACAGAGGCCTTGGCCTTCTTAATCTGCTGCTCTTATCTTCTTGGCTTGCTTGTGCAGCACTGTCTTGCCCTGCTCAACGGAGACAGCAGTCCTATCCGTCACCCTTGTGTCGTTGCCCCTTTTTGGAGCAGGGTGGAAGCAGGGTGACTTTTGGGAGGGGGCTGGTGTGTGTATATCTGTGGGAACTATCACTTTTTGTTGAAGACAGAGCAAATCTTTTGGGGGAGTCTGAACAGCTGGAATACCGGTCAGAAAGAGAATTACTGTAACAGATTTGAAACACAAACCGTGTTTGCGGGGAGGTGGTGGCCGTAGCCTGATCAGCTAGTGCTGTGCCGTGTTTCTGATGGCCCGAGATAAACGTAACCTGAACTGCCAAGTGGTTGTACAGCTTTTCAAATCAAGGCTTGAAATGGAGAGCTGCTCTTGGGGCTTTGTCATATCAAGGCAATCTTGTCCTTTGGAAACCAAGTGGGCATAAACCTTCTTTCTGCTTTTTCCTGCAAGTACGAACGCCCTGGAGCATCCCCGAAGAGAAGCCACGATGGGGAGTGCACGGCTGTTCCAAGTAAGTGCCCAGTCCTGGTGTTTCCTCTGACTCTTGTGTTCCCGCAGTCTTTCCCCTGGCCTCAGAGCTCTGCTGCTCCCGTGTGAGCTGGGAGACAGCTCAGGGCAGCTCTCGCCTCTGTCAGATCAAGAATTTGGGGGATTGTAAGCTGGTTAACTCTCCCAGTGTTAGCGTCTCCCAGTTACAATATGCTGCCACATGACAGCTATTCCCCAAGGAGCTTCTGTGCACACTCCCCTGCAGCTTGATGTCTTGTCAGCGCTTTTGCTTTCAGTGGAAATAACTTGTAATTTAAAAAAAAAAAAAAAAAAAAACGGCCTTTGTGAGGCAATTTGTAGTTGTTCAAGACTTTTGTTATTTGTGCTTTTGAAAACCCTGCTGACGTAGTGAGTCTCCGCTGCTAAGGTCTCCACTCTGCCTGTGTCTACCAAAGCACAGGATGGTGGGGTCAGGTTAGACTCGTAATCCTCAGCATTACGGTAGAAAAATTTAAGGTCAGGTATTTTTAAAGCAATTATTTCTGAATGAGATCTCTTGTAGCATATGCCTGGCAGTCAGAGCAGCAGCTGTTACCAAGTGTTAGATAACATCTCGAAGAGAGGAGGGATGGGAGGTTTGTAGCAAGGAGATGGGCACAGTTCAAGGTAGCGAGGAAGGGGCAGCAAAACCTGACCCCTCCTTTGGTGCTTTCTGTGGTGTGACTCCTCTTAGGATGGCAGAGGGGTGGAGACATTTTGCACAATGCCCGAGGAGCCCTTTTTAAAATGCTGAGAGCCTTTCGTGTCCATCTGTTACAGCAACTCGCCAAATCGAGATCCTGGAGCTGGAGGATTTGGAGAGGGAGTGTTTGTTGGCCCGGATCCGGCTGACTCTGGTGCAGCATGACCTGTCGACAGCGGCTGTGGCAGGTGAGAGGGATGCAGCGTGGCCACCTCTCGCTTCCCCTGGGGTTTTTGCTCGTGTTAACGCTTCCAGTCGTAGCTCGAGTGAGGAAGCAGCAATCTTGTTCTGACCCAGAGACAAACCCAGGAGCTGGCAGGGACCATTCAGTTCACCCCCCTAGCATGAAATCTTGCCACCAAGTTCAGCGGCTTTGGAGAGGCAGATCAGCAGAACCAGTTTTAAGTTTTCCACCATTTTTTTTGGCTTTGCCAGGCTCTAGTAGTGGGCTGCAGCCTGGGGCTGGGGTTGAGCTCATGAGTTGGGACAAAAAGGCATCTTTTTGTCTTGCTGGAAATTGCCCTCGGGTCAAGCAGAATTAGAAAGCCCTAGAAAAAACACTTGCTGCAAGACTTAAATTATTGTCCTGGACAATCCTACTTCACGACACAGTGGTTAGCTTATCAAAGTTGTTCCTTGTGGGGAGCAGAAAGCTGCGTCTCTCCCACCCTGTCCCTTTACGCGTGTTCTGCCGCTCTCCAATACGTGTTACGCAACATGTACGTTTCATTTTTTCCCATTTTAAGTAAGAGGAGATGTCTTCCTAGTAAGGGGCTGTGGGGAAAGGATTGAACAGCTGGTTTGAGGGCAAACTGGAGGCGCAGGGATCCGAGCGCCACAGTTTCATCTTGCCTCCTGCCGCTGCCCCTCCTGCCTGCGCTGGCAGAGCTGAGCTGATGCCTTGTTCGCTTGGATCCGGGCCCGCTGCACCGCTGACGAGGCTGTCCCCTCCCTACTCCCCTAAACAGTGGCAGCATTTGACTACGGGCCGTACGTTGCTGCTTGTGTCCCTCTCCAGCTGGTGCCTGATCACGGACAGCTCCGTGGGTCGCTGCTGCTTTGTGCAGTCCCTCCGGGGACAGCTCATGAGATGCTCCCGAGGCCAAGAAAGCCTCAAGCTGTGCGACGAGAAGTACTGCTGCGGGGTGTTTTACGTTGGGCCGTTAGCACAGCAACCTCTGCCGCTGAATTGCGTGGGGTTAGGCCCCAGTAAGCACTGGGGTGTGACTGGGGGAGGCGCTTACCTGGTCCTCCTTCCCTGCAGGCAACTCTACACCTGAGGAAACAGTTGCTCTCCTGGTCCGGGCCGGCCTCTTCGACACCGCCATCACTCTGTGCCAAACATTCAAGCTGCCCTTGACGCCTATCTTCGAAGGACTCACTTTCAAGTACGTAGCGAGCTTCTCCCCGCCTCGGGTGACGCGCGGCTGGAGAAACGTGCGCTGCGTGACGCTTGGCAGGGCGCAGCTTGCAGCTCCCCAGGGTCAGAAGCCGGCGCTGTCCTGACGTGTCTGCTCGCCGCAGCTGCTAATGCTGTGCACAGCCTCGGCAGCTGCTGGCTCGGTGGTTTTGAGGTGGAACTCACTCTTCGCACCTGAAAAGGAAAAATAAGGGAGCCTTGCTGAGCAGGGAGTGGCGGGGGGGGGAGATTCCTCAGGGGTCTCAGGGGAGGGAGCTGGCATTTGACAGTCGCAGGTGGTCCCGACCCAGGCACAACCATCATCTGGAGACCTTTCCGGTGAGCTGGCTTCTGGCACGCTCCTGCTGATGCCCAGTGAGCTGCTTACAGGAGATTTGTTCAAGCCATTGAACGGCTCTCAAATAGCGGTTGGCAGAGCGCTTGCTCTTCTCTCTGATCTCTGTGCCAGCCATTTGCTCTCATCCTTCATCTCCAACCCCAGGATTCCTCTTCTTCTTTGCCTCTCCGTGCTCGTGGAAGATGCGTTGTGCCTGCAGAGTTGCTCAGGGGCTCTGCTGCGACCTGTTCCTGTGGCTGGATGCACGGAGGGCATCTCTTACCCACCCAAGCTTGGGCCCTAAGGCTTGCTAACAGCAGAATCGTTATTAATTCCTCTCTGGCACTTAGAGCAGCTTAGAAATCACTCTAACAGCCTTCTCTTCCTGCCAAGCCAGCTCATTCCTAGCTGTCGCTTGGGAATAGCCCTGCGAAGGGTGGCTTTGGCGCTGGCGGCTGTGGCCAGGCAGGGGGAAAGGGCCTGGGCTCTGCAGGCCCCCACTTTTTGCCCTGCTCTGTCTCGCAGGTGCATCAAGCTGCAGCTGGGAGGGGAGGCAGCGCAGGCAGAGGCCTGGGACTGGCTAGCAGCAAACCAGCTCTCCGCACTCGTTACCACCAAGGAGTCCAGGTAGGTCCTGGTCTGTGGGGGGAGAAGAGCGGAGCCACTTTTTGTGAGAATGAGACTCATTTCTGGAAGGAAAAGCTTTGCAGGAATTCAGAGAGTCCACAGGTTCATTAAAAACCCCCTTAAAGCAGACCTGCGGGACTGGGACAGCGGGAGAGCCATGCTTCACGGAATGCTTTGGGCTGGAAGGGACCTTTAGAGCTCATCCAGCCCAACCCCTGCAGTGAGCAGGGACAGCTTTAACCAGATCCGGTTGCTCAGAGCCCCGTCCAACCTGACCTGGAATTTTTCCAGGGATGGGGCCTCCACTACCTCCCTGGGCAACCTGTTCAGGTGCCTCACCACCCTCAACGTAAAAAAATTTCCTTCCACGCTGTCACCACGCTCTCCCCTGCTGCTGTACGCAGCACACTCTGCTTTGCTGGGCCTGGAGCACGCACGTTGAACCCCGACAGCGGGACAGGTCCCCTGGAGCACACCGCGGCCTGGCAGACAGTCGCAGGGGCTGCTGGCACGGGTTCCGAGGGGAAATATTGCCTTGCAGTGCCACAGATGAAGCTTGGCGGCTGCTGTCATCCTATTTGGAGCGTTACCCATCCCAAAACAGTCTCTACCATCGCTGCGTCATCAACAAGCTCTTGGCGCATGGGATACCTCTTCCCAACTGGCTCATTAACAGCTACAAGGTGAGAACATGGAGAGGGTCGCTGCTCGGCACGTCCGGCCCGCTGGCCAAAAAACCCCATCTGTTGCAGAGCTGCCAGATCACCTTCACTTCTCCAGGCACCTCCTCCTCGCAAGCTTCACCCCACCTTCCCATTCCCAGCTCTAGGAACCCGTGCCGGATGCTTTGTGCCTGTCACTGAGGCTCGGAGCAGCTTCCCCTCGGCATCATGGTGGCTCCTGGGCGTGTTCCTTGGCTGACGTTTCCCTCTTTGCTTGCAGAAAGTGGATGCTGCCGAGCTGCTGCGTCTCTATCTGAATTACGATCTGCTGGAGGAGGCTGTGGATCTGGTCCTGGAGTATGTAGACGCTGTGCTGGGCAAAGGGCATCAGTATTTTGGAATCGAGGTGAGCTTGCCTGCGGCGTGGGATGTGGCGGGGACCGTTCCTTGAGGCAGATCCCGCTTAGGGTTTGGGTATTGTGCCTGTGAGTTGCGTGACGGCGCTTCATAGAATCATAGAATCGTTTAGGTTGGAAAAGATGTTTAAGATCATCCAGTCCAACCATTGCCCTAACACTACCAAGTCCACCACTAAACCAATTAAGGGGAGAGGAAGAATTTCATGTTTCCTGGCTTGGTGGTTGGATTATTTTTTAACGAAAGTAAAACTAGGAATCACTAAGGTTGGAAAGGGCCTCTAAACTCATCAGTCCAACCATCAACCCAACAGCCCCAGGCCCACTAAACCATGGCCCAAAGTGCCACGTCTGCCTGTTTTTTGAACACCTCCAGGAGAAATGGGTGCGGGTAACCCACCCTAGAGGAGAGGGGACCTCTTAGTGGGACGGTGGGTGCTGTGACATGGCGGTTGGGGACTCTTCCTTGCTGTAGCTGCAGGGAGGAGCATTTTTTTGCCACGAGCATGATGTGATGCAAGGGTTCCTCTCCCCTCCAGTTCCCGCTGTCTGCCACGGCCCCCATGGTGTGGCTGCCCTACACCGCCATCGACCAGCTGCTCCAGGCACTGCAGGAGAGCACCACCAACCATTACAACGTTGCGGTAGGTACAGCGGGGAGAAGGAAGGGTGCTCGCCAACACCCTGCACTGGGGCCGAGGGGCGGCAGGGAGCACCCTAAGGGTGCCCGAAGGAAAGCGGGAACAGGGTGGGAGCGCAGGATGGGGTGGGAGCGCTCGTCTCTCACGCCTGCTCTGCCCTTCGCCCAGCTCTACCAGAAGTTGCATGACAAGATGGAGGACTACCAGCAGAAGGTCAGCGTGGCCACCCGGGATCGCCTGTACCGCCG